TTAATAACTAATAAACTATTTGTTTCCAAATTCTGGAAATGGTTTTCTAAATGTTTCCAAATTATTTCCTAATTATTCGATTCATTGTTTTTTCAAAATATGTAACTTGTTTGCCAAGTATACGCTGGTCCCTGTATCATACGTTAGAGTTAGACACCCCCATTGCGTGTGGCGCCCTCCCTCTCTTGGGGTGCAGTACTACGATGCCGCTGGGCGGTCACTCCAACCCCCCCGAACTGAGCCCCTACTTTAGTCAATCCTCTTTGATCGACACCAGCTAATTATCCAGGAACAAAAAAAATATCTACTTGCCGTCCGTAGGCTAGTCTCCAGCAGATGATAAACTTCGTATTTATCGTTCGAGTAAATAAAAAAAATACTGGAAGAATTATCAAAAATACGTAAATCTTAAAAATAATCTTGGATTCATCAAAAAATATAAATAAACGATTCCCCCTGAATGTAAAACTATAATGCCAATTGATTTCTGATTATTGGCGAGACCTCCAATTTTTCGTGCCATTGAAATAGAGTTTAACCTCTTATTGTGTTCTGTCGTATTCTTGTCTATCTGGCGAATTATTATCGAGAAAAAAGCGAAATAAATAGAAATAAATGTAATGAACAAGCATTTAATGATGTGACGTGAGCAAATTGAAACCGAAGCCTGAAACTGCTAAATTGCTGTGGGAGTAAAATTTGCTTATGGATTATGTCTGAAAGCAGTGAAAATATTATTGGCGAGTACGAAGAGGGGGCGATTGACGAAGAGGGTCATCAGATGCAATTGACAGATGACATTAGCCATTCGGGGATGTCAAAATTGTTAAGAGAACAAAATCAATTGTTGATGAGACAGAAGTCACAGCAGTTTGTCGAGGAAATCGATTTCCGGGAGATACAGACCGAAGAGGTTAGAATGTTGTTTTATTCCAGGGATTTTATTTTTATAAACAACTTGAATCTCTGTTTCATTCCTAAATCCTTTACTAACGCAATGATCATGAATTAAAAAATGTTTCATTAATTCAATTTGTCTTTCCAAGTTAGGTTTAATTTATCAATTGATATGCTTGATTTTGTTTTTAATTCTCTGGGAAATTTATTGGCTGTAATGGTTTGTTCATGATTGTAGACTTCGATTCGGTTTTGTCGCTAAGACCATTTCGAATTTAATTTATTGTCCGGTTTTTGAAGATTTTTAAATCAATAAATTTTTTAATAAAGTCTCAACGAAATCAATGGAATTAGGGGTCGGAATAGGTCAGCGTTTTCCCATTAAATTTCATATAAACGACTGAATAAATCTG